TAATTTATTTTTCTTTATATTTGAATTTCAGAATAAAATTTTAAAACATGATTGTTTTTTCTTTTTAAAAAGTAAATTGATATAATATATATCATGAATTCTTAGAATTTTTAAATGATATTTGCATATGTATAAATATATAATTATTTTATTCTAAAAGTTTAAAAATGTAGTTTAGATAATTTGTCGCAGTTCACTAGGTATAGCCAAGATGTATAAAAAAAACTATTAAATCATTATTTTTATTAAAAATTAACTATACATCTTCCAATATAATACAAATTATTTGCTATGAATATTTTTTTTAACATTATAAAAACAATTTATTTGAAATAAAATAATTTATTAAAGGAACCAACCAATTATTCAAATATAGGTTTTTATGCTAATATTATTGATTATTTCATAAACAAATATATATAGAGCAAATGCATATACATTAAAAAAAAAATTGATCTTCTCATCAACATTAAATAAGAATAAAATTTTATTAATTATAACTTTATTTTTTGGATACATTCTTATATATATATATTTAAAGTATTTGTTTTTGAATTCTTAATTAATATTTTAGGTTTAAATTATTACAAGCTTTTATTTAAGAATCCACGAATAAAGAAGAATAAACCATGTTTTTTAAGCAAAAAATTTATGAAAAACACACAAAAAATAGTAATAATTAAATGAAAAAATTATAAAATTTTTAAATGATTTTGTTCTATATACCCACAACGTTGCGTGGATAATTTTAAAAATTAATCTTCTCATCAAAATTAAATAAGAATAATTTTTTTCATTTGTTAGTTTTTATAAAAGTTTGTCTATTAATTATAACTTTATTTTTTGAAATATAATATTATGAAAAATATATTTCTAAAGTTTTTTTTAATTTTTTATTAATATTTCAGTTAAAATTATTACAAGCTTTTATTTTAAAATCAATCCATAAATACAAATGAATTATTTTTTTAAGCAAAAAATTTATTAAAAAAAACATTTGAAAAAAATTAATTAAATAAATAAAAATTAATTATAAAAATTTAAAATGATTTTATTCTGCTGGATCATAGCAACTAGTGTCTGTTACTATACCATCTTCTTTCTTTCCTTGTTCTTTCATGACTAAAATGTTAAAAAGATGGTCAATTTCGACTGCATCTATATGCTTCTCCAGTATTGGTTGGTCTTTAATTTTCTTGCAGTCGACAATATGTTTTTTAGAAAAAGGCAGAGCTATGTGAAATCTTGTGAGAATCAAAGCTGCACCCACAGGTTAAGGACATTATGCTTAATTTTCCAAAGGCATTGAAGAAAATGCCCTAGTATGGATTAGGATTCACCAAGCTAAATTGCTTGGATACAGAGATTCCCTAGCCAGTATATATGGATGAGGATTCACCAAGCTTGATTGCCTGGATATGAAGATGGGGGCTTTCAAACATAATGCTTAATTATGAAATTATTGGGTTGGATTTCTTTCCATACGAAGCCCAAAATTCATTTAAATAACGAAAACATAAAAATTCTAAACTAAAAAGCGTAGATGATGTGACTATAAAAGAAAAAATTGAATTTCTTTTACGATGATCGTGAGGCAGGGCACCTCGACGACAAAAAAAATAATAATAAAATAAAATAGAGAGATAGAAGAGGGTCTATGGTCAAGAGAGAAAGAAGAAAAATGATTTTTTACTTTTATGGTCTTGTCGGTGATTTCAAACTCGATCAAAATAAAATTTAGATATGTTTTAAAACTCAAATAATATTAATTATTAAAAAAGTTTATTTTTTAAAAATATATTTGATAAAATATAATTGTTGTTAGAATCTATACTTAGAGTGATGATTTTGCTATATTTGGGATGATGACTTTGGTGTTTTAATATACATCTATTTAATATAGAGAAAAACCTTGTATGTTAGTAGAAGAATTTGAGTTCTATTATTTAATATAGTAAAATAGTTTACTGTGCCATAGTTTTTTTTTTTCTTTTTCACAATTGATTCTAATTTGCTCATTTATTTATTTCTATAATAATTATTAGTTGATCTTAACTTTAATTGCATAAACAAGGAAAAGGAACTTATGGATGATTTCAGCTCATCTATTTTTTTTTCCTAAGAGAGATCAATCTTGAAATAAGGGACCCTTCATTCTGATAATAAGACTCGACTGATAATAATCTTTCAGAATAACAATTCTGGTGATACGATAGAAAACAAAAAAAAAAACAAAAACACTAATCACAAGGTCGCTGCAGATCCAAACTGCAACCTTGTATCCTCTCTCCCTTTTCTATATCAAGATTGAGAGGACCGGAAACTATTGCCAAGAGAGACCACAGCTTCTTTATTTCATAAACTCATGATCACCTATGAATCTGTTGTTGGAGGAATCATTCCTTTTTGGCTGTATGTTATGCTAAATAGTTTATTTTCTCTCTCATATACACAGTCAAGTACAGAATTCGAATAGATCTGCTACAATTATGTTAGTAGAGAACAGTCAATAGCAGTTAGCAGTTATCAGATATTTCAGTGATCGTTCAGTACTGTTCCTGGCTTTATAGCCTCGTCTACATGAAACCAATTCCATAGGGTTGAAAATAGAGCAAACAATCACCTATTCCTATGTGCAATTTAACATACAGAACCTATACAAAATGTGAATATAGCACTGTGAAATTCTTTTAGTACATGTTACATGGAAGCTTGAAAAGACCTAAATGCAGTTAATTAGTAGCTGATTTCTCTAGCACACATCGAAGGAGAAGTTATAGATAGAGGCTCTTGATGTCGAAGAAGGTACGTGGAATGTGCTAAAGTTGGCAAGAAAACCAGGTAGACCAAAAAAACACATTTTTACCAATGAGAGACCTCCTCTAGAGTTGGCTACTTGGATCCTTCGCTTTTATCGAATAACAGCACTAAATTTTTGTATTTGAACCTAGATGAGAGAAAGGCAATGATTGAGGATTGCAATTTAGAAATATATCGTCTTCTCGTTTTCATTTGCGACACTAATTCAAAGAAGGCAATTTTCCATGCGCTGCTTCGCTCCAAAGCCTTTTTTTGTTTTTTAGATTTTTAGAATATCTCGTCTTTAAATATTCAAACTAATTTCTCGTTATTTAATCGAATATACAAAATAAATATAATTATTTAAAAAAATTATATATAAAAAGCTTAAAACTAAAATTATTTATTTAAACGATTATAATTTTTTTCGTTTAAACTAATCTTCTTGAATATTTCACTCCAAACCTTTGATCCTTCCTAGCTGAATTCTCTTAGCTTATGTGTATTATTTGGGACCGTTGGGAAGCCATAGTGGACAATTAATTAGTGATCACGCAAATTATAGGAGCAGCGCCGAGAACAGTAGAATTAAATTAATGCATCGAAAACAAGACTTAAAACTCTCACGTTCTTCTTACAAACCAAACAATGTTTAATTGCTTGGACATAGAAGCATGATGCAAAAGTAGGAGCTGATTGGTGGCTCTCATCATATTTTGAATTGAGATATTCGAGATTCTCTCCTGTTTTTTATATCAATTTCACTTGTTTTTCAAATTTAAATTATTAAATTAAAAATAATAATTATGTGATTCTATTACATGTAAAAAAGGTAACAATTTAACTATAAATAATTTTTTTTCTTTCATCTATAGAAAATGAAATTTGAATTTGATAGTAAAATTTAAAATATGTATGATCGGTCATGTTTCCTTCTCTCAAATAAGAGAGGATCTAAATCCTTTTTAATAGCTCAGTGAATTAGGATCTACTTCTTTTCTTATTGAATTTATTTTTTCCTATTAATTTTGGGACAGTTTGTAGAAAATAATTTTATAGGAGAAGTATTTTTTTCTCAATAAGTAAATGTTTTACCTAAAACAAACTCATCTTAGACAAGTGATATATATATAATAAATATCACAATTAAATTTTGATAAATTTTGTTGTGCATTCAATTGTGTGATTACGGTTTTCTTTACAAATATGAGTGTTGAAAGAGAAAGCTGAATACACAATCAAATTTAGCAAATCAAACCTTTCTAAATAGTAGTAATAAACAATCATCCCAATTCCTTTATTGAAAGGATACATGCATAATCCAGTATACTGGGCAATAATGATTAGATATCTTATTCAAATACTTCCACAAGAATATCTAAAATTAAAGACACCTAAATTAAATATATAAAGCTAGGGACATAGAAACATGACAAATTTAAATAAAAATGGATCTAGCTAAAAGATAAATAAATAAATAACAAAAAAATGAAAAAAAAAATTGAGATGAAGAATGAAGGCAAGAAAGTAAACAAGAGAGAGAGGCCAGCTGCTGCCAATTGCTAATTCTATAACATTTTCTCTCACTTGCTGTCCATAAAATTATTTGAACTTTAGGTTCTTTATTGGATTATTGAACTTCTAATATCATATAGAGATAAATAATTGAGATTGAGTTTTATCTAAAAGATTTAAACTTTCCGATAACCGATCTCTTCTCAATCGTATATATATATTAATTATTTTTTATTTAACTATTCATGATAAGATATGTTCTCTAATATATTTTAAATCTCACTATTAATTTTAAATTGAATGATTTAGATTAGATGATAGAAAATAAATAACAATAATTAAGTTTTTTGTATATTTTATCTTGTATTTATTCATGTCTATCCAATTTAAATTTCACAATTTAAATTTTACAAATAAGAAGAAACATGGTGGAAACAAACATGAAAAATTCCGGTTTGGATAAAATCGTTATAAAGTATAATTCCGGTGGTTGGTCCTTTAATTCCTATATATCCAATATAACAAGGAAACCTCCCCTTCCCATGCACACGTCGTACGCCACAGATAAAAACGAAAGAAAAAGGAAAGAAAATAAACAACGGAACAACCATGAAAAACAAAACAAACAACTTTGATTACAGTACGGAATTTATTTGCACCAGGAAAGGAAGGTGTGGCATGCATACTCATAGCCCAACTGACCCAATCGACTTGGTTAGACCAAAGGTGATAGCCATAGCGAACCATCCTCCGACCAAAACCCTAAGGGATGACTTAACAGCAGGTGCCTTCCCCAACAGAGCCCCCGACCACCCAAACACCACCAAAGCCAAGGTCACTGCCCCAATCACCACTCCTAGCCTCACCTCGTAATCTCTTATGAAAGAAGCAGCTAGCAATGGCACTAACGCACCAGCTGAAAAGGCAAGAGCTGAAGCTGCAGCTGCTTGCAATGGGTTTGGCAAACGTTCCTTCTCTCCCTCTTCTTCTTTTTGTTCATTATTCCTTCTTTCCTCGTCTCTTTTCATTTGAGCCACCTCAATATCCAGTTGAGAGTGTACGGACACAAACTCGCCTATAGCCATGCTACAAGCCCCAGCTACCAAACCGGTAAACCCGGTTAGTATCATAGCCTTAACCTCTTGTTTCACAGCTCCAACACCCACCATTAATGACGCAATGGAAACCAAACCATCATTGGCGCCAAGGACTGCTGCACGTAGCCATTGCGCTCTTTTTGAGTAGTCGAAGTCTTCGGTTTCGATATCTAGAGTTGCTTGCTGCTCAACATCATTGATAGGGAGAGCAAATCTGGCATCATCAAGGGTTGTCTGGTTGCTAGCCATGAAATTGAACGCTGGATTGGAAATGGTGAAGATATATTAGAATATTAGATATATAAGAGAGAAGATTGGAGAAGTGTGGAGGACACACGCCTTCAACAAGGGTATATATAGATCTTTGCTGTGGTGGAATCCAAAAGTGGCGAATGCCCACTATTGAAAGAAAAATGCTTTTATGTATCTGAAAACATTATTGTAATTGTCATGTATGGTCTCACAGACATGGTTGAATTAGTGCGCATATATTTCAGGGAAAGTAGGGTAATGCTTTACCATACTTAACTATTAATTTTAAAAAACTGAAAATGTTATTAGACTTTTCTCAGTTTTGATCACTAGATTTGAATGTTTATTCTTGGTCCGTTCATCGAGCTTCCGTCTGGCATCTAGCCGGTAGCCAGAGCGAGAATCTCCTAGTTCAATGTTATCTTATGTATGTCGAAGCAATATCATTGTTGACGGTGATAATGAAGAGTAGACTCTTTTGAGAGTGGATTCTCGTGATCTTTAGTACACTAAGTTGTTGTTTAGTTACTAGAAATTGTGTAGTCAAAATATGAATAAAAGTTTTATTTTCATTTTATAACTGTTTGGTGAAAAAGAATAAAATGAGAATAAGAATGAAGAATAGAAATACTAATAAAAATTACACATAGCTTCATTTTTATTTAAAATATGAGAATAAAAATAAAAAATAAGAATTTTTTATTTTCAAAATAATAATACTATTTATTTATTTATTACATATTAACTACTTCTATCACCACCACCACCACTATCATCTTTATTATCTTTACAACCATTATAATTTGATAAAATTATTTTTTTAATCATTGTTCTTATTTGTATAAAAAAAAAATCAATTATTAAAAAAAAATTCATTCTGATTTTTTATTAGTATTCCAAACATAATGCAAATGCAAATGTTATTCTAATTTTTTAATTTTTATTTTGATTTCTATATTTCCATTTCATTATTGATAATTAAAAGATGTATTATAGATATCGATGGTAGTCAACCTATTTACAGCCATGTTCGAGGATTGATTCGGATTTATCAATTAAAGAGACCGTTGAGCATCGAATGGTCAAGTTGATGCAAATTTTAGTTTATATTGGACAAGTGTTGGATTGGTGAAATTGAATTAATTTGAATTCAATTTAATCAAGCTCAAAGAGTCGTGGAGGAATTTATGAGAGCTAAATTCATACATGGTCCAGGACTAAAAAGCTATTCATTAAAGAATACTGTATGCTCATTACAATAAGAGTTCTATTTATAGTAACCAAAAAAAAAAAAAATTGTCTATTTACAAAATACGTTATTTTTTGATAAGTCATAATAAGCAAAAAATTGAAAATTAAAAAGTTTTTTATCCTAGACAAGGGTTTAAGGTTATAATAGTCTTTTTAATTTATTTGTTTTTATTATTTGGCTTTACCGTGTACCTCTAGTGTCTTTCGTCTTAAATTCATTCTTTTACATTTAGTTTCTGACTTAATCTCAATATTTTGTTAACTTTTGAACTACCAGTATTAATTTTTTTCCCTTGTCTTAATCTCTTCCTGCTATTCTATTTTTTCTTTTTAATTTTTTTTACTAAATTTAAATAAATGAGTTTTAGAAAATAAAATTAAAAAAAAAAGTAAAGATATATCTGGTTATTTTCTCTTAAAATTTTGTTTAAAAAAGATGACGTGAAAAATATTTTTTATTCAAAATATTCTTTATTTGTTTAAATACAGGAATTTAAGAGAGCTAAATGCATACATGGTCCAGGACTAAAAAGTCATTCATTAAAGAATATTAAATGCTCATTACAATTACAGTTCTATTTATCACAACCAAAAAAAAAAAATTGTCTATTTACAAAATACGTAATTTTTTTATCAGTCATAATAAGCATAAAATTGAAAATAAAAAAGTTTTTCATACTAGACAAGGGTTAATGGTTATAGTAGTCTTTTTATTTTTTATTTTTTTGGCTTTATCATGTACCTCTATTTTCTTTCATCTTAAATTCATTCTTTTACATTTAGTTTTTAACTTAATCTCAATATTTCATTCACTTTTGAACCAACGGTGTTAATTGTTTTTTCCTATCTTAATCTTTTCCCTTTATTCTGTTTTTTCTTCTTAATGGTTTTTTTACTAAATTTATGTAAATGAGTTTTAGAAAATAAACTTTAAAAAAAAAAGTGAAGATATATCCGGTTATTCTATCTTTAAAAAAATTAAAAAAAGGTGAAGTGAAAAATATTTTTTATTCAAAATATCCTTTATGGATTTAAATTTATGAGAAATTTATCTCTATATAATAAGCAAGTTTTAAATATAAAATGAAACATTTATAGTTTTTTTTTTAATGTGAAGAGATTTTTAGTTAAATTTTAAAATTTTGAATATATAGTATTTATAATTTTATAATACTTCAAAAGAGTCTACTATAATTTAATTATTTTGGTTTTACAAATTTCTTAATTTGACTCAAAAGTAAGAATATAAATTTTATTACAAATTTTAATCAAATTAAGAAATTCTTTAGTGCTGGGTCCAATACTAACAAAAATTTATATTCCCTCTTTTGAGTCAAATTAAAAAACTCGTAAAATCAAAATAAGTAAATTATAATAGATTCATTTGAGATATTGTAAAATTACAAATATCATTCAAAAGTTTAAAATTAAACTACAACTCTCTTCATATTTAAAAAAGAATGTTGTAAATATTTTATTTTATATTTAAAACTTTCTTACTATTATAGAGATAAATTTAAACCCGGAGCATATTTTGAAATAGAAAATATATGTTTAGCTTCACCTTTTTTTAGTTTTTATTTTTTATTTTTTTATTTTCAATTTTTAGAGAGAATGATCAAATATATCTTCTCTTTTTTTTTTCAAAATTTAATTATTTAAATTTGATATAAAAAAGTAGGTTACAATGAAAAATATAATAGGGGATGAGATTAAGACAAAAAAAAAAAAAAAAAAAAAAAAAAAGTATTAACACCGTCAATTCAAAAGTTAACAAAAGAATAGGATTAAGATAGAAACCAAGTATAGATGGATAAATTTAAAGTTAAAAAAAATAGAAAAACACGATAAATATTAAAAACAAAAATACAGCAAATGAACCTTTGCAACTATTAATCCTTCTAGACAGATCATAAAGAATCTTAATTTTACATTTACCTCTTTGTACTTGAATGAATTGAATTCCATTTAATAACAAATCCAACACATCTCCATAAACTAATTATATATAAAACCTCTATTAAAATTTGAAATATACTTCGATAATGCTAACCATTATACAAAATCTTTAATTGAGGAATCCTCGTGGAAATAAGAATTTACTGAAATTTTAGGGACATGTTTACACAATATTTAACTGAGAATGATATTTCTAGTGTGTCTTCTATTATCATCATGATCCCATAATTTTTTTTTTCGAAAATGCTTTTCATTGATTTAGTTTTCTAACACTAACAATTTATTGGAAATTATTATATATTTAGCACAATTTTCCAACAAACTAAAACAAAAAAGCCTATCCAAAAATTTTGCTACTTGAAGAAAAGAAGTTGCTTAGTTTACATAAGTTCATTTGTGTTCATTGAATTAATTAATTAGATCCTCCTAACCTACCAAAAATAAAGAAATGGATTGCTGAATGGGAGAGCACTCATAGTTGAGAGAAAGATGAGTGGGAATTAGATACAATAAAAAAATGAAAGGAGTGTGGTTTCCCCAGGAATGCCACCTTCTCTCATTATTTTATATCAACCAAAAACTGCTCTTATTGGGAGAGTCTTTGTTATCCTTCCACTTTTCAATATTCCACTCAAACTCAGCTGCCAGCGCATTAGAGAGTGTGTTAGGTAAAATCCTTAATGAATCTCCTTCGCTTTTGTGTACTTGTAAATGAAGTAAAGAAATTGCCTCTCTTTGTATTTAGATTTGTTAAAAATTATTTATGTAGTCAACACATTAAATAATGCAATTTTCTAATATACTCTTAATTGATAAAGAATTTTTTTTTCCTTCTTTCGTTAACCAAAAATCAATATTCTTTATAATTTTCTCTTATACATACAAATATTTTTAATATAAAATTTTTTTTAAAAAAAATTGTTATATGAAAAATATTTATTTTTTTTGAAAACTTTATTACTTGCCAAAATTTTGAGAGTAAAATATTTCTACTAGTGTGTTTTATTTTATTTTATTTTTTATAATTGTGTTAAAATTTGATGGTTAATTAAATTAATGATTTTTTTTCTTTTTTTTTACCATTTTAATTTTGGATAAATTTTACGGTTATTAATATTGGTTTTATGTAATGCAAAATTGAATTTAATAACTAATAAAATTTTAATAAAAATATATGTTAAAAAATATCAATAAAAAAAATACTGATATGACATAATAATTAACTTTTTTAAACTGTATGAAAAGTTAGTAAGAACTTTCTTTTTTTTATTTTCTTTTTTTTTTTTTTTTTTTTTTTGAGACAAAGGAAGAATCCATTTAGTTATCCTTATGTTTTCATGTTCCTTTCATAATCATTGGAGGGTTCAAATTAAAAAATCGAATCGTGATCCACCAACCTATACATATACACCTTAATTTCTTGGTTACAACTCAAAATTGTTCAATGATGATCTAGACAAAATTAAGTGCGTACAATTCTATACTTAAGTATGTTAATTTAGAATTATGAGGAATTGTACCTAAACTACAATTTAAGCATGCATGAAGTTTTTATGGAGCTCTTTATAAAAAAAAAAAAAATAGAATAAAAACACTTTCATATAATATGGTATTTGGGTGCACCCATACGCTTGGAAATGACACTGATAAAGACTTCAGCATACTTGCACTCGGCACAGCTGTTTGATCCCTTCTATACCCATCGGATCAAGGGGAACGTCTCGGCCATTGGAGTTGTGGCACGACAAAAGATATATACTTTTTAGGAATTGATCGTGAGCTTGTACAAGAATCATCGACAAAATGTAAACCAGGATAAAAAATTTCAACTTGATCTCTACTTGAAGAATTATACTTCCCTGGATTACTGATTTGTATAGGAACTATTGTATGGACAAAATCAACAAATTGGCCATGTAATTGGCCAAGAAATAACCATAGTTGATCTGAAAAAGAAAAACAAAAAAAAAAACAAAATAAAGTACAGCAAAACAAATGGGCCCATCTCACTCCTCCTGACCAGCGCATCTCCTCTTTCCATGGCCTGTAAAATCAAGTCTTTACCATTGCTTTCTCTGGTTTCTGATTCTGAGATGTACAGATTGTGGGTTGGGTTCATGGTTAATAGTATATTATATAAATTGAGAGGACGCTAAAAGGACTAGTTGATTTAACTTGATCACTGCTTGGAAGGCAAAGCAATAGACACTAGATCAACCGCCTAGAAAGAGTATGTATTGTTCTAGGCGCCCTTGTGAGCAAAGTAAACATCAGAATAACAATCAGCAAACAGGATTTAAAATGAGTAGTCATCCTTCACAAATCAATCTGCATCTTCAGCAGTAAAATCAGGTTCTGGGGGTTTCTGTAGTTTCACTAATTCCCTGGCAGTCTTGGCATTACGATTACGATGAACACCTCGTAGAGCATTTGCTGCAAACCTGGTTGCCAAAAAGGTGGCACCAATACTGTAAGAACCTCCACTAATATTGCTACGGGATCCATCTGACCCTTCTGCTTCTACTTCGTCCTCTTCTTCCTTCCGACAAAGCTCAATACTCTTCCTCTTGGAATAACGTCGCCATGCAGCTTGAATAAAGCAAGCAGCCCAAGTCCTCCACTGCTGTGAATAAAACCGGAAGGTGTGCTGAACTTGTCTACTATGAAGGCGCCTGAACTGACTGGCTACAAATTTCAACTCTTCAGCTATGAGAGCAAAAGCCTCAACCTCTTTTAGTGCCTTCACTGTCCGAGTAGAAGAGGGAAGGTTGGCACCGGATTTGGGATCCAGTGCCCAGGTCAAAAGCTCCTCTCCACAGAAATCTCCTTCTTTGAGTAAACTATGGTTGAAGAAACCACTTCTCCCACCATCTGTAGTCACACTCTCCAGGCGACCACGTATGATAAAAAGCATTTCATCAACTGGATCTCCTTCACGAACTATGTATGTGCTCTCTGTAAATAGACAAGGTTTCAACCGCTCACAAATGGCATCGAGCAACCTCTCATCCATATTCTCAAATAGAGGAACCTACAAGCGCCATCAAAGCAATTAACAACAATTAACAAAAAGAGGCAAGAAACACACTTAAAATAAGGAACGCAACAGAGTGGAGGCTGGATTGAGACCAGAATGGAATAATAGTTTCCTGCAGACCATGTAACAAAGATCCCACCCATTACGTGTTGAAGTTTCGATTAACCAAAGGTTCTTAACTTATCCAATAAAATCCTCAAAGTTTGGGTTCTAAACTCACTTAAAACTCTAATCTCTTCACCAACTGAATGCCAATGCACACTACCTGAGGCTCAAAACATTAAGGGTAGCAGGAGATTTCTTGTTTCTTTGTTTGCAGAATGATCAATGTCTATGCAAATGGCCATAAAAAATGAGCACATCACTAAATCCCAACCACGTTGTTCTGAAAGAGAGCTAAATTTTCTCCATAAGAGATGACTTGGACCACCCAAACGAACCTTTGATGGCGTTTGATGGCATTTCCTTGGCATATCAAGAGCCAAAGGGAAAGAGTCTTGTCTGGAAATGTAAAAATATGCTTGAGCAAACAGTACAACTCAAAAATGCCAGTTCCCAAAAATTTGATATTTCAGACTTTTACAGAAAGGGAGATTTTATTAAGCATTGGAGTTCAAAAAATTATGTACTTTAGGAGCCATAAAAAATAACAAGGGCATTCTGTGCTACATAAGCATGACACAAAAATTTGGGAACTCTATCAACAGAACTGACCATAGTTTTATACTAATTACTATATACTTGTATTAAAGTTTCAAGATGCAGATGCCTTTGAAAGAAAACATATAACAGTATTTGTTACTTGTACTTTACAACATTACATGAAATTTGTTGCGGTGCACCAGATGATATAAACCACCAAACTGCGTCTCACTAGCACAAAACTTAGAGACACAAACAAGGGATCAATAGGGATTAAGTGGACTTACCCTCCTCACCAAAGCCAAACAAAGATGCCGTTTGATATCTCTTCTCAGATCCTTTGGAAGGCTCTGTACCAAGTTTTCTTCATCCACTCCACGTGTTTCCAACCATTTGTACTGGTCATAGCGTCTGACCCGTTCCCTAAGTTCTTGAGGAAGCAAGCGATGATGCATCCACTGTTCTGAGTCACGCCTTTTGACTCTCATTTCTTCTAAACGAATAGTAAGTGACTGAAGATAGGTCTGTCTCAATACCAAAAACCAACAATATCAGTATCATCAGATCATATTATAAATGCATATTACACATCCATTTACCAAGTCAGTAAGTAATTACAGTGATTTTTTATTCGTAACATAGCGAGGGAAGGAATCAATTAGCTGTAGATTAATTTGAATTTAATTAAAATTGGATAGGGATGCATTAGCATGCAAAATTAGGACAGGTATTCCCTCATAAACTTTGGTTAACAAGAGTAAAGATATGTATAACAACCTAAGTACTTTCAATAATCGACCCAATGATTCAGATATCTGCATATGTTTTCCCAGTGCAAGCCATCAAATACTCTGTGGAACATCCATGTAAGGAATTCGAGAGGCATGCAACAGATTAAGAAAATAAGAGAAAAAAAGAAGATGATTGAAAAGGTATATGTTGTTCTTGATCTTCTTTTGTTCCTCAATTTATTTAATCTATTATATAGACAATTCTTGAAATAATACCTGAATGCAACTAGCTTGCTGTACTCCTACATTTCCCATCTACACTCTTTATCTAATAATACATTGAACTGGACAAAGAAACATAAATCCAATGGCTTCACAATCATATTCATCAAAGCACAAAATTTTGGTTTTCCTTGTCTGCTTGATGAATTCTCAGAACTGTGCCTTTTTGTTTTTTCTTGTTTAGCCTCCACGTTTATGAATCTCAAAATCCAATAGCTACTGCCCTAAATAACAGAATATCCTACCAATTAAGCAGCTATATCAATATTAAAATTAAAATAAAATAAGAAATACAGAATACCACGAAGATGTTCCACTTACCTGCATGTTGCCAATCAGAAGAGCAAAGAGAATGAGTCCAAAAATGGCTAGTGCTATGGAGAATATCACCTCTCCAGGATAGGTGCTGGTTTCAAGCCCCTGGCCAAGTGTACTATGAAGAAATTGAGGAAAAGTAGAGTTAGTATCTAGATAATACTGACAGTCCAACACTCACAATGAAAACAATCCGAGAGAGCAGCATATATTTATGCACTAATTGGTAACTAAGGTAGCCATAATGACTGTATCTCATCAACAAAGTTTAAAAAAGACCCCTACAACAAGAAAAGGTTTTAATATGCATAGGACAAAATTAAGGGTATGTTCAGCATATAAGAAGTATTATTTTGTATAAAGAAGAAAACCATGTTTTGTTAGAATTTCTTTTAACACTTTTGTCGGAATATTAAGTATCATTCAAGAAAACATCCAAAATGCGGTGATCAAATAGGCAATAAAGATATCTGCAAGTATAACTCCCAGTTTCCAGCATGGACTGTGCAAGATTTCAACTCATAAACAATATGATTCTGGATACATTCTAGTTTCATTTAAATGGACAATAAAAAAATCAGAGAGGGATCATGGATACGGGGTGTTTAGCAATTCTGCGTCAAGATTTTAGCTTATAGCAAAAAAACACCAAAATAAAAGCTGGAACAGAGAGGCACAATAGGAAAGTCTAGCTAACAAACACAACCAAATGAAAGCACTAACTACTAGTTCATACAACTTATTTGAACCCTATTTGAGGCTAACATGAACGTGCAATAATCTAGTGTTCCATGGAACAGTTAGCAAGTAATAAAGGGTAAGGCAAGATGGTGCATACAATTAGGTTCATGCCTCACATATTTATTTTATGAAACATAATCCAGGAAGCTGCTAAACAAGAGGGCGAGATCAGATAAAGCGTAAAGACCACAAATAGCATGAAGCGAGTAAAGAGCAAGCTTATAAGATTGAAAATTCAAAAACTGTGCTTTTAAAACACAATTCAGTATGACTTTACAATCACTCAATTTCATTGTCAGGATTCATTGGTAATAAACTAATAAGTAGACAATGATATGATAATATCCCTCTAAAATATATTCAACATTCAAAAGTCCTCCAAATCCACAAGCCAGCTTAACAACCTAAAATACATGATCTTATAAATGGCCATACTTAAAATTTTTGGACACACCAACTAGTATAGTCATGGGACATGGCAAGGGACTATGAAAAAGGACATCTACAGATCTTGCAGCCTCAGAGCAGCTCAACCATAATGACCCTACAACAAAACTTTTCCCAAATAAAGTTCCAGGTAATTGCTCACTGCAATCATTACCAGTGACCTTTGTCTCTAATTGGATTGATTCAGATACCATCTACTCTAGGAAACAGCTTTCTATTGCTTTACAATAACACACACACACACACACACAAACACTAGAGTTTACTGGTAATTTTACTATCTTTAGAACTTTCTTACAGTATTGGGAACTTTATAGGATATTTGTATTATTACGAATTCAATATTGACAAGACTTTATGGCACTTTCCTCTTTTATTCTTTTTTCCTGTGGTACATATTAAGTAACATTATTTTCAAAGGAATTTTGTCTCCATATCTAATTTAGGATTCTTTAGACTGGGGTTTTTGGCAGGGTATATAGGCACACACATGAAGGATTAAGTGATGGCCATTTGAAGAATGAAAATTTAAGTTGTGAAATTTCCTACTTCTTGTAGAGTTCAAGAACCCAAGTTTCTTAAGTATTCAAGCACTCCTTATGGATTCCAAGGTCCAGTTTAGTGAAATCTAAGAAGCCTAATAGACTAGGTTTTCTACTCTCCTTACTTCCTTTTTCTCCTCAGCAGTCTGCTCTACATGATATACTCTAAAAATATCATGCCATACTGAAGTTACACCTACACAAAAAACATGTGTATGTGCTGGTACAGAAGAATTAAATTACCTCAAATTCTGAAGCCCCCACCATAGACAGAAACAGTATTTGGAGATGAACTTCTTAGATGAAACAATGCCAGAAGTCAAAGCATTTGAGTAAATTCCATAATCAAATTTTGCATCATCTCCTGCTGAACAATTTGACTGAAGAATGGATCCATCCCAGGCAGCATAATCTTCATCCATATGCTGATTGCCACAGTACAAGAAATTCTTTTGGCATTTTACAGCATCAGTACAATTCTCCTGCCAGCATGTATCATTTCGTTCTACTGCTAACAAGTACCAAAACGAACCAACTATCTGCAAAAAAATACTCAAAAATAGAAACAGATGACAATCTTTGCTTTAATACTTCAAACGATCAGTGTTTAACTGCAACTAAATATGAAAAAATAAGAATTCAGATTCATTTTTGTTTTGATTGCCTATCATAAACAAACTAAATATTCTTATTCAGATTGTGACTTCCAATATTGGAATTGAATGAACAAACAATCAAACACAACATTAGACACTATTCTATCCAATCAAATACGAAGGGAAAAATTTTTATAAGTCGAACTATTCAAACAAAGGCCAGAAAAGAGAACAATGGCATTATGGGACTACAAGAGAAATAAGAATGATGCCGGTTAATCTGCAGCTTCTATGTGAAGCACATTTATACCTATGCTCATGCTACAGAACACCGAATGTTGCCAATCTAACAATATTACAAGCTAAAACAGAGAGTTTCATGAACTGACAATAGATTCTTTCAGAAAAGGAAGGCTATCGAGCCAAACAGAACTTACATGGCTAGCAAGCATGTATAATAGCAAATAATATGCAGCTCCGGCCCAGGCAGTTTCAGCAAAAACACCTGCCGTCCTTTTCAGTTCTGAAGTTAAGGGCAAGATTCGAAGAAATCTCGGAATGTATTGAAGCAGGATGATGTAAAGCAAGGCCTGTTTTGTGGCCAAGACATCTGAACCTTTCGACCTCACAAGAAACCTCCAAACCACAATCTGCACATGTGGAAAGATTATCAGAAAGACAAACAGCTGTTTTCAAGTTGCAAGGTCTTGTAAGTTCGCTACTATGATATGGTGATTCCAGCAGACTAAAATTGAAATCCTCCACCATTATTAGTTACCATATTTCTCAACAGAACAATGAAAATGCATTCTTATCAAAATGAACATCAAAGGAATACCATAAAGTCCCTGCCAAGTTTCATTAATAACCTTCAAATACAAATGAAATATAGATTCCCTATCGCTTCTTACATATATAAATAGCAGGTTATAGGAAGTTAACAACTTTTAGGATACCATTTTTATAATAAAGGAATAGATAATGCTGCAATCAAACTGATGCATGAACACAGGGAATAAGAGAAGATAACATACTAGATGGGATCATATGAATGCAATGTTCAATAAAAGGCTGACCTAAAGCAAGATGTACTAATCTGTAATTTACCTTTCCATTGGTACGGTAGTAATGTATAAGAAACAGATATGATCCAGAAATATTCGGTGAGAATAAGTCAACCATCATAAATCATGTATAATGGCCGAACAAGAAAGAGGAATTGATAAAATTTCACTTATGCAATTGATGCTGCTGTCACAGAAATCACGAACAGAACCAGCATCTAGCTCAAGTATAATATACAGATCTTAAGCATCACAAAAAACATCAAAGGCGAAAAAGGAATAAAGAGGCAACAGAAAACATGAATTGAGGTCCAAAAACATCAGAACAAGAGGGAAATATGCATTTTTTCTGCAAAAGAAAATAAACATACTCAGAGTGGCACAGTTTTTACACCTGTGGTAGGGGGAGGATAGAAAGAAAATCAACGATGAAATATCTCTGCAAGTATCGCTTGGCTATTTGTGTGGGATCTATCACAAGTTCACCTCGTCCAAAGACCCGAGAAGATGGGGCGATGTAAGCCGTTCGGAACTGAAGAGCCATGCGTATAAGATAGAAAGCATCAATAATTGTTCGCAATGTTGTTGCTATCGTTGCTAATTTGCGATCTATTCCAAGACAGTTCCCTGGAACATCAAAAACTGGGAGATAAAAAAATAGAGGGTCCACAGACACTGCCAGGATACATGATATGACAAACAGTTTATTGCAGAACTGGAGGAATTTATCTTGAGGATCAAAAATCTTCTTCTCTGACACTTTAAGATCTTCTGGAAATACTGCCCTAGAGACCCCAAATCTAAGCGACCGACCAATAGACTTGAGTCCCTCAGATCCTTTTCTGATTCCTCTCTTGAAAGATCTTGATGGTGTATCTGTTCCTGGAGCAGTACGTCTAAATCCCTCAATGCCAAACCCACATTTTCTCGCTCCTTCAGAAGGCGATGATAATCTAGAGTCCAAGTCATCCAATCTATAATGCATAAAAAAGACAAAACTGAAAAAGTTAGATGCAATCCTAACTCATACTACAGAACCCCTAGAAGCAGGAAAAGGTAAGGTTCTCAAAATGATAAGAAACAAGTCTTGGCACTACTAGAAAAATAAGCCTTTAAATCCCATCACTTAAAAGGTCAACAGCCCTCTGTTAAAGGGAACTCCACTATGTGAATAATAAAGTCATCACTTAGGATTCAAAACTTTAATAAATCTAAATAGTAGTTTCTGAACATCTCGTATACTAGAACTTTAACAAACTAAGTCTTAGATTCTAAATATCTATACATAAATTGATAAAATAGGTACATGAAGGAACAACATTGCATTACACGACCAGAAAATGGCTGAAAATAACTATATAAAGACATTATTCTGGTTTGGTATGACCACAAAATGATTCATCAGCACCTTTCTTATATAATAAGATTTCAAAATGACAAAAACAAGACTCTCACAGCAGCTTTTCCACAGAAGAACTTGCTTTCTATGATACAATAATAGTAGGCTCGCAGATACTGTTATTGGCCTTGTTTTTCAAACCATTTCAATCTTGGATAAAATCTTAAGATCCTACGTTGTGTATTAACTTTAAATTTCCGTAGCCTCAAATCCTCCCATAGGACAACAGAATCCGACAAAAATTAGACTGTTGAATAGAATGAAGTGGAGCTGTCCATGAAGTTACTTATATTTATAATCTTGAAGACAGAACCAACAAAAGAAAAGATATCCAAACAACATCAAAGCAAATATAAAAAGTTAACCATGAAAAAAATACATATCTTGCAATTCAACTTGGACTACTTTGTAGAAAAGTTAAAGCAGATTTATAAAACCAATTTACATCTGCGTTAATAAGACCAGCCACTCTAATTCTACAAGGAAAGAGATGTCCTCAACAATATCTTGAGATTATGAAGTGAAACCATAAGCATCCTAAATTAGGTTGAAGAAAAGAAGCTAAATGCTCGACCTTGGATAGAGCCTGCAGTAACATATGCAAATTGTTATGTCTACCCCACCACAATTTTGAAACTTGTAATTATGTTCAAAATTTCAAGAACCTATTCCTACCACAACCATATCTTCTCATAGCCCTCTTTTCCTGTGCTTGTAAAGAGACCTCTTCTTCTTTTTTTCTTTTCATTTTGAACCTCACTAATGACTTATCGATCAATTTGTTTCCAGTTCAACTTAGAATTTTTAGAAGGGAAAAGAAAAAACGAACCCTCCAATAATAAGTTTAACTTTCTAGTCTTTGATGCTTAAACAAAACAAACAATTCCAACAAATATGATAAACAGTATACCTCTAACTATAATTTAATCCTCTCTCTTATCCTTGACAAATTCCCACAACAACAATAGCTGAAAATTGTACCTGACAAACTTGTCCCTCGGACCACCTAAGTATCCTGATTTCGGACCACAATCAAACATCATTTACAACTTCTTAACATAAAAACATCGCCTGCAAAACCACCAAAAGAGTAATAATAATTTCATTAAAATGCCTACCATTTCGCAACAAATATCAAAATTACAAGAAACTTCCTATATATATATAACACTGGCAGAAATTTTTATTATATTAGATGTCCAATAACAACACTAATTTTAATTTCCTACCGTTGACCACTAAATTTCATGAATTACAAGCAATAATATAACAATTTAAAAGCAAGAAAAATACTAATTTTTTAAAACAACAAAAAAAAAAGCCTCGTATTTCGAAAACTATAAGCTAAATCAAAATCTAACTGTAACAGACATGCAATAAAACTCACTAAGAATCTACTAATAAAAAAAATAACACAAAATCAATTGCTATTAGAACTGTAAAGCACTGATTTTCTTAAACTATAAAATTCGATGGATCGATTTTGCAGGAAATGAGAAATCAGGAAAAAGAATTGCAAGCGAGAGAGTAACTTACAGTGAAATGTAAGTTTGGGGTTTCAGTTAATTTATGAAGAAGGTGAAGTAGAAATGGAGTCAGAAAAGAGAGATTTGACTTTACAAAGAAAGGAAAAGAGAGAGACTTGCAATTAGGCGCGATTGTTTAGCGAGGAAAAAAAGATGAAATCGGAGATTTTTTCAACCGGAAAACAACGTTACCCAAGCAGCAAAGAGTACAAATTGAAAGGAAGAAAGTAGGAAGAAAGGACGGAGGGGTCGTCAATAAAGTCTCAAAAACTTTTTCAATTACTGAATTGCCCCTTTTAGCTGCTCGTACGTCTGGACTCTGCTTCGGCTTCGGATAAACAAAATAAAATAATTAACGAGTAAATTTTGAAAAAATAAAAAATAAAATGAAAAGCGGATAAAGCTAGCGTTGCAGTTAAAGAGAGTACATTATAAATTAGTCTCTCTACTTTATAAAAAAGAATTAAATATTTTTAAAAAAATAATTGATTAGTTACTTAATCAGTATTAGTCATAAATAATTTAATATTATTTTATTTTAAAAAATATTTTTTATCCATTCTTCTATATATGTTTTACTTATTTTTCTTATTTTAGGAAAAAAATCAATATAAATAAAAAAAAGATGAAAAAATCAAGTTATAAGACGTTTGTTTGGTAACTAGAAATAAAATGAGAGCGGAGAATATTCGAATAAAAATGTGCTTTTCCTAAGGAAAAAAAAATAAGGATAACTATAACTTGATCCCCTATTATACACTTATTCAATCAAAATCCAATCTTTGAAAGTTTGCTAATTAAATTCCTCGATCGTTTTTTGGTTTAACCATTTGTCTTCAATTACTTTTTGTTACCATATAAGTAAACAAAATATTGTAACGATGAACCTGCTTATTTGTATATCTTAAAAAAAAAAATAACAAGATCTCGCAAATATTTTATGCAAATAACATACTTAGTGATAAGTAAATTTTACAGGTATCTTTAACTAAAAAAAAAAAGATTCCAATGACAAAATAATATTATTAATTAAAACTAAATCCTTAAAATGGTTTTAATTAAAAGAATCCCAGTAACAATATAATGCTATTAATTAAAAACCAAATTCTTAAATTAGAAATCCATTCAAAATGAAACATTTTCATTAATCGAAACTATCTTTATTGTGTATAATAAAAACTCGTTTAAAAAAAAAAACTCGTTTATATACTTTATGCAAATTGAAAATTCTATATCCATGAAAGAAAAACAAGATAAAATTTAAACTTGTGAATTGAAAATACAAAAATGTTTTGATAGAAATGAATATAGTTTTTTTTTTTTTTATCAATCTTCATTAATAGTGTCTTATCCGAATAAAATCAAGAATCTTGTGATTTACCAATTCAAAGTAGAAATTTAATGCCACATTACAAAAGACTCTAAAAGACGTGGGGGTGAGACTGTTCACCTCCACATAGATTAATGTGGACGGTATTGTTCATACAACGAGTGTCTTCTTTAATTTAGACCCCTTCTTTGATTTTCTAATTACAATACTATCATTATTACTTTTGCTCTCTTTTTGCATTCCTTTCAACTTCCCCCTGTACGGCAACACAACCTTACCTTGCACGACCTTTCCTTATCGCCAGGAACCACTCCCTACTATTGCCACAACCAACCTCACACCATATTCTACAACAAAAAATCTCACACCATCATGATAGAGAACCGAAGCATCCAAGCAGTAACAAAAAATCTCACACTATCATGGTGAAGAACCAACACAATTACATGAATAAATAACAACAACAAACATAAATAGAGTTAGTTACTCTAAGAGGAAAGGATTTTTGAAATTGATAGTGACAAAAAAAAAAAAGCTGAAACAAAAAAAAGGGAGAAAGACCGAATTTACTTGAACCGAAGTTGCAATCCATATCATCTTCAATCAATTCTACTAGGTAATTTTCTTAATTTCAAATTTTACTTGTCAATTTAGGTTTTGTTACGAAATTTGAGGATTTTTTTAAATTTAATTGAAATTGGGTTAGGGAATGGAAATTAAGACCAATTGAAAGAAAATTTTGAAAAATTGAAAAGTTAGGGCTCGACGAAAATTGATTTAAGTTAGTTTTGAAAAATTGATTTGGGGATTTTTGATTGGAGATGGAAGAGAAGGAAAGGAAGAGAAAAGAAGGAAAGAAGAGGGAGACCATGAACGAACTAGTTCGAGTTCGTCCATGGCGAGGTTCAACAAGAATAAAAAAACAAGAAGAGAGAGAGAGGATTTGACAAAAAGGAAGGAGAGGAAAGGAAGAAAAAAAGAGAAGGGGAGAGGAAGAAAGAAAGATGAATCATTGTTGGTTCGTCCATGGTGAAAGAGAGACTCGGGAGATTAGGAAGAAGAAGAAAAACAAAAGAAAAGGAAAGAGAGAAGAAGAGAAAGAATGGTCAGGGAAGGAAAGAATGAAGAAAAATTAGGGTTTTGATACAAGATTTATTTTAAAAAGGGGTTGGGTTGTGTTTTTAGGCTTGGATTTAATAAAATGATGTGGGTTGAGTTTAACCCAACCCATGTATAATTTGGGTGGACTGATTCCAATCCAACTCGGTCCAAAAAAAAAAGATAAAACTTTTGAGACTGGATCGAGTGCAGCCCAAAAAAAAAAAAATTGTCTTACTTTTAAATTTTAATTTTATGCATGCTTATTATTTAATATTTAATTCAAATTTTAAATTATCTTTAATTATTTTAATCTTGAATTTATTTTATACATGTTTGTCCGTTTTATATTTAGATTTTAATTTTTTTAATTTTTTTTTGTAATTATTTAAATTAATTTAATTTTAACATTGAATTTATTTTATGCATGTTTGTTATTAATTTTGATTTTTTTAATGTAACTTTAATTTATTTGTTTAGTGATTAGACTCGGTAATTAAAAGATGGAGCATTGTCAAGTCTCCTAATTTTTTAAGGGTCGATGACGACCTTCCACTAACAAAAAAAAACAAAGAGAAAATAAAAAAATAATAAAATAATAAAATCATGAAATCTTTTAAAAAGTCTCATATTTGATAGAGGTCTGTTGTTAGATAAAATAAATTATTTTTAGCAATTGCGGCATTCTCCGACACACCGATTGTGTCGAAACTTAAAATGAATCCGATATTTAAAAAATTTATTATGACAAGAAAATAAAGATTTGATTTGACATGACTTATAAAAAAAAATCTAATTTTAAGTTATAATTAAAAAAATCATAAACAAGAATAAAAAAAATTATTTGTTAATTTTGTTCAAGTTTTTATGTTATTTTATTTCTTTGATACAATGTTATAAAAAAATATTTAAAAAATTAAAATATATTTTTAAAAATTTTGTAGCTAGATTATTATGAATTTTTTAAGAATAAATACATAAAAAAATAAATCGTGTTTTTTAACTACAAAAATTATTAAAAAGTAAACAAAAAAAGAGATGCAAAATTTTGATTAAGAATTATAAAATTAGATCAAATTTATTTTTAATTTAATATATTTTTATAAACTAATAGTATACATGTGTTTAACTCAATCCGTAGCGTAGCGTGAAAAGCCAACTAGTTTGCATCTGTTTCATGGGGGGGATATGTTGAACCCAAAAAGGTTGGGAAGAAACTAACAAGATTTGAAAATTGAGGACTGACTCATGGGTAGCTATATATGACAGGGACTGATTTGTTGCTTTTCCAATAAATAAAGAACAAGAATGCCTATGTTGACGTAAATTAGGCTATGGATACACTAAAGTGTAAAGCACTTCTGTCTTGTCTTCGCTTCTCTAGACACCGTAGGCCACCACAAACAACATGGACATTTTATTTTTCGTTTATTTCAGTTTGCCTTATGATTTTCTTCTTCGAAGAAAACAAGGAAATGCTGTACGTTGTAGCCCACCACAAACAACCAAGAATTTCTTATTTTTCTTTATTTTAGTGTACCTTGTTATTGTCTTCCTTTTAAGTTTTAAGGCAGTAAAGAAATGCTATTCAATAAAATAAAAATAAATGATTTCATTTTATTTTATTTTAATGATAAGAGATATTATCAAGTTAGATTACACATAAGTCGAAATTAATTTTTCTCTGGACAATCTTAAATAAAAAATATTAAACTTTCCTATATTAACGTAATATAAAACAAAATGTTATTTGACTATCCAATTATACTTATAAATAAATTGAGCGCAAAAATT